ACAACATGGAACTGAATCTGTCTATAAGTGGTACGGCTGTACTGAACATTAGAATAAACTTCAAGAAAACAACATGGAACTGAATCTGTCTATAAGTGGTACGGCTGTACTGAACATTAGAATAAACTTCAATAATACAACATGGAACTGAATCTATCTACAATCTTATACTCGGAAATTTGAAAATTTGAAAGAGCTTGTTAAATTCGAGACTTTAACCTTGGAATGTGAAAACACGTAGCTGATAACTATTATTCACCGAGATGTGTTGGTTTTTAGCTTGAGCAAACTGTACGTTTGAAAGAGCAGAAATGAGTTTTTCAAGCTGTAAGGAACGTTACATTTATGGTGGTAGAAACTTAGAAGCTGACAATACATCGACAAGTTTAAATAACGGAAATGGTTATCAGTTAGACCTGTAGTGGCTCGGACAAGCTATCAAATAGCGAAGGCTACAATTATGCAGAGATATCTTCAAAATCAATCAACTATAAAGGATTAAATAGAAGAAAAAATATCAAGTTTTTTAACGACTTTGTTCCACTTTTTCTTTCAGTTGGTCGCCATATTGTTCTCCTGGACTGCTTTCAGAAAGTTCGGACCTCATGCGAGAGTAGTACCTCACGTGTTTCCTCGTAAGACCCGAGTCCTCCTCCTCACTTCTCCCCTTACTGGAGATGTACGAGCTGAGTAAGCCTATCACTCCAGTCGAGGCTGGAAAATGTCAGTTAGAAAATTTTGGAGTGTGTTATACGGTTAGTTCAAGATGACTCAGTTCTTAAGTATCCGAGTCAAAATTCCGTGTTATTTGTGTGTGTGTGTGAAACGTGACCGGTTTGTTTTATTTGCTATCCATGCTATGTCCGTATTTATCACACTTGAAATCACATGCATATAAAAATGTGATCTTTTTCCCGATATAGTGTACTCTATAACGCAGAGCTTGTTAATATTTACATGGTTTTGTTAACTAATGACGAATTATAATTATTGGATAAAGTTTATATTGATGTAAATAATTGTAGTAGTAACATGCATGCTGATTACATTGTTCAAAACAACCTGTTTTGTTGTAATAAATGCCGCGAAACTGTACAATAAAACCCACCGTAACTATGAAAAAATAACACTTCTCAGCTCTTTTAAAAACTCTCTAAATATATATATTATTATAGACACCTAAGCCTAGAAAGCTACTATGGTAAAATGTTGGCTAGTTTAATATTTAGACGACTTTAAAAACTCTCTAAATATATATATTATTATAGACACCTAAGCCTAGAAAGCTACTATGGTAAAATGTTGGCTATTTTAATATTTAGACGACTTTAAAAACTTGAAGTATTCTAATTTCACGTGATGTTGAACCCCGGAGTAACTGGCGGGGTTCATAACCCCCCTCGGTAATCACGTGATATTGAACCCCGGAGTAACTGGCGGGGTTCTAACCCCCTCGGTAATCACGTGATGATGAACCCCGGAGTAACTGGCAGGGTTCATAACCCCTCGGTAATCACGTGATGCTGAACCCCGGAGTAACAGGCGGGGTTCATAACCTCCTCGGTAATCACGTGATGGTGAACCCCGGAGTAACTGGCGGGGGTTCATATTCCTCGGTATCTTAAAAGCATTTTTTTCTAAGCTGTTTATGATCCAAATGACTTGTGGGTCCGTTATGTGTTAATGGGTGAATCACTGCTGGAGTCCCCCTGGTGTTTTACATATAAAATGAGTGATCTGACTCGAGGTGTCGGACACTAAACAGTCAAAACCCTAAAATTATTCAACATGAATAAATATGAGGACCCCACCGGTACTTAACGGTATAAAAACAATCAGTTAATCTGCAGGGTTACAAACAAGCCGGTAATTTGAGAGGGTTACAAACGAGCCGGTAATTGGAAGGTTACAAACAAGTCGGTAATTGGAAGATTACATGTAACCAA